ACTCTTTCCACATACATTAATAGTTTGTGAAGATGAAATAAGGGAAATTTAAATGTCCATCACATTTCACATTCTTGTGGTTTTTGAAAAATGGTGTTTGTTTCTAAAGTTTTTATTATTTATTTATTTTTGGCTGTGCAACGCCTTGTGGGGGATCTTAGGTCCCTGACCAGGGATCAAACCTGTGCCCCCTGCAGTGGGAAATCCCTGGTGTTTGTTTTTAAATAGGTAGTAAACGTGGCACTGAATTCAAAAGATACAGAAAGGGGTGTGATGAAAGTACATCTTCTGACCTTCTACTGTCGTGTCACCCAGTTTTCCACTATTACTAGTTTCTTTATGATTCTTCTCATGATATTCCATACATTTATGAATATCGATGTACGTGCTTTTAAAATAGCTTTTAAAAAGTAATACCTAGGGCTTCCCTGGTGGCACAGTGGTTGAGAGTCCGCCTGCCGTGGAGCGGCTGGGCCCGTGAGCCATGGCCGCTGAGCCTGCATGTCTGGAGCCTGTGCTCTGCAACGGGAGAGGCCACAGCAGTGAGAGGCCCGCATACCAAAAAAAAAAAAAAAAAAAGTAATACCTAAAAAAAACCCCACAAAAACTGCTTTTTTTTAAAATCCTACCGGGAAAGTACAGAAAAGGAGCAAGGAAGCAAAGTCTCCTGTGATTCCACAGAAGTGGGACGACTGGTGTTAACATTTGTGCTTTTCGCTCTTTTCTAAAATTTTATGGATAGCTGTAGGTTTTGTGTTTCTATTTAAAATTACTGGGTATAGTTTATAGTTTCATCTGAGAATAGACATCTGTTTGATTTAAAATGCATCTAAAGTGGGCTTCCCTGGTGGTGCAGTGGTTGAGAATCTGCCTGCCAATGCAGGGGACACGGGTTCGAGCCCTGGTCTGGAAGATCCCACATGCCGCGGAGCAGCTAAGCCCGTGCGCCACACCTACTGAGCCTGCGTTCTAGAGCCCGCGAGCCACAACTACTGAGCCCGCGCGCCTAGAGTCCGTGTCCCGCAACAAGAGAAGCCGCTGCAATGAGAAGCCCGCACACCACAACAAAGAGTAGCTTCCGCTCACTGCAACTAGAGAAAGCCCGCGCGCAGCAACGAAGACCCAATGCAGCCAAAAATAAAATAAATAAATATATATTAAAAAAATACATCTAAAGCTCTCATCATGCCAATTTTGTTTGCTTTATATTTATGGTGAGTCAAGCAGGGAAATCTTTATGTACAAACCCACAGTCATTTTTGTATGGGGTTAATACAGTTCTTCTGTTGCCAGTGCAAGTGGGTGGAATGCTAGCTCAACTAGTTTCCTCTTCCCTGACCTGGCCAGACTTTGTGGCCTCCCATGTTTTTTCTTACACATACATAGCTCTGTGTGTGTGTGTGGGGGCAGTGTGTGTGTGTGTGTGTGTGTGCGCGCGTGCGCGCACGTGTGCATGTGTGTGGTGTGCACACTGGCCTCTCCTGTCCAATCTATTTGTATTTTATTGGACCTTTAAGCCGCCTCTGACCGCTTTAGATAATTGTGATTTCTTTTTTCTTCCCTTCCTCGTCAAAACATCTTAAGTAGTATCAATATGACTGCTCTGTCAACTAATTTTGTATTGACTTGTTGTGTCTATTGTTGTGTGTGTTTATTTCTAATATTTTAGATACTTTTGTGATAAAGGGTTTTCTGTCGATGCTGCAAGTGCCTTTAGGGCCAGAGACTGTCCCTTAGACTTTTTTATACCCCTCCCAGCGTGTTAAGTCAGTACCCAGGGATATTTAACTTGAAAAAAAACACACATAATGGTTTTCCACTAGGGCCACGTATACCTTTTACAGGGAGTACATTTTCATAGTTGGGGGGTTACCAGTTAACAGGGAAATTTTCTAGGGTGCTGTTTTCTTACAAGTCCTTCATGACAGAGCCTTTTGGTGGAGTCACAAGATTTAAAGCTCTGTGTGTAGTTGGTTTGCACACCATGTGGATCGCAGGGCAGACGGTTCATTTTCTCTCTGGGTTCACTATTGTGTGGGTCAGCTTTTCTGCCTGCATGTTTGGAATGTAAAATGTATGCATCCCTCTTTCAACACTCAGAATACTGACTCTTGTCACTGAGTTCAATCCTTTTTTTTTTTTTAATTTTTAAACGTGTCACTATTTAAAAAATTTTTTTATAAATTTATTTTATTTATTTATTTTTGGCTGCATTGGGTTTTCATTACTGTGTTGGGTCTTTGTTGCTGCGGCGAGCGGGGGCTACTCTTGGTTGCAGTGTGCGTGATTCTTATTGTGGTGGCTTCTCTTGTTGTGGAGCACGGGCTTCAGTAGTTGCAGCACCGGGCTCAGTAGTTGTGGCTCATGGGCTCTGGAGCACAGGCTCAGTAGCTGTGGCCCATGGGCTTAGTTGCTCCACGGCACGTGGGGTCTTTTGGACCAGGGATCGAACCTGTGTCCCCTGCATTGGCAGGTGGATTCTTAACCACTGTACCACCAGGGAAGTCCCACATCTCTTGTTTTGAAGCTATTATAAATGGGATTGTTTTAAAATTTCATTTCAGATTGTTACAAGTGTACAGAAATTTATTTTTGTACGTTGATCTTGTTTTATGTAACCTTCAGAACTCACTTGGCAATTCAACAGTTTTTTAGTGGATTCCATAGGATTTTCTGTGTAAAAATCATGTAATCTGTGAATATAGGTAGTTTTACTTCTTCCTTTCCAATTAATGCCTTTTATTTCTTTTTTTCCTAATTGCTCTGGCTGGGATGTTTGGTATGATGCTGAGTAGAAATGATGAGTGTGGACTTACTGCCTTTTGCCTCATAAGAATGGGTTGGAGAGTGTTCCTCCTCCTTCTCTATTCTGGACTAAATTGCTTAAGATGTGAATTATTTATTCTTTGAGTATATGATGAACTTGCTCGTAAAAACTTGCTTGGGTTTTCTCTTATTTTTATTGGAAGATTTTTAACTACTGATTTCAATGTCTTAATAGTGATTCTGGGGTTATTCAGTTTTATATTTCTTTTAGGCATGTTAGGGTAGGGATTTATCCATTTCTTTTCAACTTTCAAATATATTGGGATAGAATTTTTGTAAATATTCTGTAGGTGGTGGAAAATACAAGTTTTAAAGTTTTGGGGTATGACTTCTGTATATGTCCATTAGGTCAGACTTACCAGTTGTCTTATTCAAATCTTTATCTTTACTGCTGTTCTTTTATTTCCTGAGCTGTCCATTACTGAGAAAGGTATATAAAAGTCTGCCATTATGATGCAGACTTGTAGTTATGTCAATTTTGCTTTATGTTTTTAAGTTATTGTTAAATGTATGCATGTTTAGGACTCATACAGCTTCCTGGTGGATTGAACTCTTTGTTGTGTTACAGTAACCTATGTTATCTCTAGCAATA